TACCTTTTACACACTGAGAAGAAAGCAACTAATTTTTGAAGCTGACTTAAAAAATATTATATAGTCTTTCAATGCAATCCTCTTATTTCAATATAAGCAATTTTGATGGTCCACTAATGGTGGTGTATTGTGTGCACTCCAAGACAATTGCAGACATTAAACATTTACAATCATGTCATCCAGAGGTATCCCCAGAGAGTAAGACATTGTCTATATAGCTGTGTTTTTGTTCACCGGAAGAAGGCAGGTTCATTTTTTCTGAAACAATGCAGGTTGTTCTTTATATTTTTGCATTATACTTTGGTTTAGGTAGGCAGTCAGACACTGATGTTGTGCCCAAATGCAGGATCAGAGAAGAATTTGACTTGAATGGGCTTTATAAAAAAGGGGATATTATTTTGGGTGGGATATTTGAAATTCACTTTATAACAGTGTATCCTGAATTGTCTTTTACTTCTAAGCCTCAGCAACTGAGATGTGAGCGGTGAGTGAATGTATTGTGTTGCTCTCCTTAACAGAAAGTCTGGAGTTGACGAAATAAAAATATTTTACTTTATAATGAGGTAAGGTATTATCCACAGCAGCATTTGGATTTTATACTTTAGGGATTGTGTAAGAAAGAATTTAATTTTGGTTGTTCAAAGAGTAGTAACAGATGAAGATTGCACATTTTGATTGCAATTATTTTTTTCACAATTGTCTTGACACCAACATGTTTTCTGTTTTCATATATTCAATTGAATATCTGAATTATATTTAAAACACATTTTATACAGATCATAATATATGAGAATAGATCAGATTTCACTATTGCACTGTACTGAGAACTGTGGTTTTTTAGCTTTGATTTTGCAGGATTTCAGTGGGCACAGACCATGGCTTTTGCCATTGAGGAAATAAACAGAGACCCTGCTCTTCTCCCCAACATCACACTGGGATACAGGCTGTATGACAACTGTGTGAAGCTGGCAGTGGCTCTGAGAGCAGCAACAGCTCTGATCAGCGGAGAGGATGATTCTGTCACTGACTACAGCTGTACAGGGACTCCCCCTGTCTTAGCCATTGTTGGGGATCCTGGTTCTACACATTCTATCACCATATCAAGAATGCTGGGTCTCTTCCGGGTTCCAATGGTACAGTAAAGCAATGGTCAGGACAGTAATATTGTGAGACATACTGAATATATCCTCAGATATATTTGATATCCACTTTGTTTTAAGTTTAGGGGCATCTGGTTATGTTGGTGAAAATTTTTATTTTACTTTTCATCTGATATACTGTTAATCCCATGTAATGTAGAAAGCACAGTATGACAGGAAAAATTAATATTTGTTCATTGGTCAGTGAAACTCATAGTAGTTTGAGAATTCAAATAGCTGTATTTATTATTTATTGGAAGTGAAACATTAAAGAATTGAAACAACTGTACTGTGGGAAATGTGTTAATTTCATTTTTTTCTTTATTATAATTTGTTCTTTCATTTGCAGGTCAGTTATTATGCCACCTGCTCTTGCCTAAGCAATAGAAAGGAGTTCCCCTCTTTCTTCAGGACTATTCCCAGTGATACGTTCCAGGTCAAAGCCATGGTTCAAATCATCAGGCATTATGGGTGGACTTGGGTTGGTGTAGTTGTGAGCAATGATGACTATGGGCTGTATGCTTTAAAAACCTTTACTGAGGAGGTAAATAGATTTGGCTGCATAGCTTTCTCGGAAATCCTCCCTCGTAACAACAACACCTCTGAAATTCTTAAGATCATCAGGACCATCAAAGAGTCATCTGCCAAAGTTATTGCTGTGTTTTCTACAGGAGCTTATCTGATTCCTCTGACTGAAGAAATTGTTCAGCAAAAAATCAGAGGCAGGCAGTGGATTGCAAGTGAGGGTTGGACATCCTCCCTTGTCTTTCATACTAAGGAGTTACTGCCTTATTTAGGTGGAACTATAGGAATTGCAGTTCGCAGAGGTGAAATCCCAGGACTGGAAAACTTTCTCCTTCAGATTCGCCCTGTGTTAGACACCAGGAACAACTTAGTCAAACTGTTCTGGGAAACGATGTTTGACTGCAAATTCCAAGACGAGGGAAACAATCACAATAAGTCAAACTCAGAAGGTAATAACATCTGCACAGGTTCAGAAGACATTGAAAGCAAAAAAACTGCTTACAGTGATGTGTCAGAACTGCGGGCTTCCTACAATGTGTATAAAGCCGTGTACGCCTTGGCACACTCCCTGCACAACCTGATGTCCTGTGAGCCTGGAAAAGGGCCCTTTCAGAATAACTCCTGTGCAGACATCACAACTGTGCAGCCCTGGCAGGTGAGA